TCAGGAGTTCAAGACCAGCCTAGCCAACATGGTGAAACTCCATCTCTACTAGGAGCTGGGCATGGTAGCCTGCTCCTATAAACCCAGTGACTTGGGAGGCTGAGGCATGAGAATCACTTGAACCCAGAGGTGGAGGTTGCAGTGAACTGAGATTGGGCCATTGCACTCCAGCGTGGGCGACAGACAGAGTGAGACTCCGTTTCAAAAAAAAAAAAAAAAGAAAAGAAAAGAAAATTCCTGTTTGGTATGTGTTTTGAAATTTAAAGGGAAGCTTTAGGAAAATATTTTGTTTGGGGAAAAATGTTGTTGCAGGAAACACGATTTTATGAATTTATTTTTCTACCTGCAAACTCTACCACTCCCATGTGCCATATGTTTTAAAACTCCATTCAGGTACTACAAGATATACTGACACAACTGTGCTGGCACCATTTCAGAAAAGCACAGTGGTCTCAGTATTTGCTCATTCTATTCACTAAAAACAGAAGTTGTTCATGAGTAAAAAAAGGGAATTATTCAGAAAATATAGGCTCGTGTTTTAAAAATGGCCATAATTTCTTTGACACTCCTCCCATTGAAAGATGGAGTCCAATTGTCCCCTCTCTGCCCATTGAATCTGGATGGGCTTAGTGGCCCATCTGTAACCCATAGAACGTGGCAGAAATGACACCGTGTGGCTTCCAAGGCTGGGTCAGAGAGGATGAGGCAAGGCCCACCTTGTCCCCTTGTCCACTGTATCATTTACTTTTTGAGCCCCAAGCTATGATGCAAGAAGTCTAACTGCCTGAAGGCCACCATTCTGTGAGGAAGCCCAAGCCACATGAGGAGGCCACATCTAGACAATCTTGCTTACAGTCTTAGCTTAGCTCAGCTCCGAATCATCCCAGCTCAGGTGACAGACACAGCAGTGAAGATGCCCTCACACCTCAGATGATAGTGACCCCGCTGGCTTGTGTAACCTGAAGCATTTGAGTCTTACCATCTAGGTTGCAGGTGTCAAAGAAGATAAAGAATCTATCCCAGCTTTACCATTTTTGAATTCCTGTCCAACAGAATCCATGAAGCTGATACTGTTTTTTTTTCATTGCTAAGCAAGGGTTTGGATTTTGTTTCTTTTTAGACTGCATTCTAGCCCGGGCAATAAAGCAACACCCCTGTTCTCTCTCCCTCTTCCTCTTTCTCTTTCTTCCTCTTCTTTCTTTTTTTTTAAATTTTATTATTCTTTTTTCTTTCTTTCTCTCTTTCTTTCTTTCTAAAAAAAAAAGAAAGATTTTGTTTCTTTTTGTTTTGTTTTCATGCAGAAATAGATGACTGGTACATTGTATAATTTAAACTTACAGGATAAATATTTGAGGAGATGATGTTATAAATATGTGCTACTCTGAAACTGCAGTTTATTTCTGAGGTAGAAGCATTTAGGTTATATATTCTTTGTGTTTTAATAAAATATAAAGTTATTAGTTGCTTTTAGTTTTCAGTGTAATGGAATCACAGGATATCTTTTTTTTTTTTTTTTTTTTCTCTTTATTTGGACTATTTCAAACTGAACAAAAGAGTGGCTTCTATGACTCATCTAAGGGATGTGATGTGCTGCTTTCTGCTGGACTCTAGCCCCAGCCCTTGGTCATTTCCGTGTTCAGTTCACTGATACATGCTTATCCCTGTGCCCTGGCCTTGCTGCTGTGGTGACAGATGCTAATCACATCAGACCAAACACTTGGCTCAGGCAGTTTCACCGACAGCTCAGCTATGCCAGGGTCTCCTCGGGGCTACAGGTGGAGTCAATGCTTGTCAGTCTTGTTTCATAGCAAGCTTTTATTGCCAATTTTGGTACAGATAAATCTAATTTTTAACAGCACTAAGAAGAAAATGAATGTGAAATAAGTTTAAGCTTAAGCAGCTTTAATGTGGATAATTCTCTTTTGTTGCAATAACATTTCAAAGAAATGGGCTGACCTGTCTATTTTTTTTACCTAATTATCTCTGGAAAGAGAAAGTCTCTCTGCTGATAAGGACATTCAAAGTACCTTCTTTGGCTCTTGTATTGATTTGTTATTCTAAAATTCAAAAAGATTTGTCTTTATAAACATAGAGCCTAAATCACCAAGTTACCAGCTTTTGAGGAAAGCTTTTTTGAATCACTATTATCTAGCGTTTATAAATAGAAATGTTAATTTTGAGTGGAGAAAATCTTTATAGTTTTCCAGAATCTTTAGAACATCTGTATTCGTCCTGTACTTTCATTGCCTTCTGATCATTGCCATGTAGTAATGCCAACTATAAATTATGAAATATTTCAGATATACATACCAGACTCTGTTAGTGGCAAATTCTGGTAGCTGGGCTGCCCTGCAAACATGAGAGCAGTGTATGGGATTCAGAGCAGAAGTTCTACCAAAACAAGTTCAAATGGGGGATGAGGGGGTCAGGAGTCACCCTAAAACTGCAAGTTTTAAAACATCTTTGCCATAGTTATAGACTGAATTGTGTCTGCCCCGTAATTCACAAGTTGAAGTCCTAACCCTCAGCCCTTCATAATGTGGCCTTATGTGGGAATAGGGTCTTTGCAGATGTAATTAATTAAGACGAGATCAAATTTCTGGACAAGGTATGCCTGAATATGACTGGCACCCTAATAGGGGAAATTTACATACACACACACACACACACACACACACACACACACACACACAGCAGCAGCAGCAGCAGCAGCAGCAGCAGCATGTGAAGATGAGGGGGGGGAATCGGGTTAAAGCCAAGGAATGCCAAGGATGGCCAGCAAACCCCTGGAAGCCAGGGGAGACCCTTGGAACAGATTCTTCCCCTCAGCCTCAGAAGCAACCAACCCTCCCAACACCTGGATTCCGGACACCCAGCCCCTAGGACTGGAAGACAGCCTTCTGTTGCTCATGGTGCCCAGTCCACAGTACCTCGTTATGGCAGCCCTAGGAAATGAATGCATCTGTAATAGGCCAATTTTGATTTAACATGGAAGTATCTAGTGCTGTTTATTTATCTTTTAACTCCATAGTGATGGGAGGTGAGATAATTACCCAGTGGATTTACAATCTGTCTAGACAAACTGAATTCATTCAGAGGAGTGAAAAATAGCTCTTCCATCAGCTAATCTGCGTATGGACTTAAGATTATTCAAACACTTCCAGGGTCCACCAAAGGACCACAGTCATAGTGTTTAGGAGTCCTGACTATTGCAGCTCCTCACGAAAGACGAACTCCGTCGGGTCTTGCCTGGTCCTTCTCGTTTGGAGCCCGGACTGCACGTTCTTACACCTCCTTTCAGGGCTTTCCAATCTTTTGGCTTCTCTGGGCCACATTGGAAGAAGAATTGTCTTGGGTCACACCTAAAATACACTAACACTAATGATAACTGTTGAGCTGAAAAAAATTTTGTAAAAAACTCTTAGAATGTTTTAAGAAAGTGGATGCATTTGTGTTGGGCTGCATTCAAAGCCATCCTGGTCCGTGTGCAGCTTGCAGGCCACAGGCTGGACAAGCCATCCATCCTTCAGAGCCTTGGTTGCTGTGACAGTGCCCTGTTGTTTGGCCGCTCCTTCATTTCAGACATATTCCTAAAGAGATCACAAGCCTTCCCAGATTAGGAAACACTTAAAGTGAAGCTTGGGATCTTTGGGAACTGGCCCCCATGGCTCCTACACTCACTAAAGAAGAAATTGAGCCAGACACCAATTTCCAGAGCCCTTGGAAAACATCAAAGCACGTGAAATTGTCTGTGGGTGGCTCCCACTTTCTTTCTCTTTCTTTTCTTTCTTCTCCTTCCTTCCTTCCTTTCTTCCTTTCTTCCTTTCTTCTTTCTTTTTCTTCTTTTTCTTCCTCTTCTTCTCCTTCTTCTCCTTCCTTCCTTCCTTTCGTTCTTTCTCTATTTCTTTCTTTCTTTCCTTTCTTCTCCTTCCTTCCTTCCTTTCTTTTTTTTCTTTCTTTTTCTTCTTTCTTTCTTCTTCCTCTTCTTCTCCTTTTTCTCCTTCCTTCCTTTCCTTCTTTCTTTCTTTTTCTCTCTCTCTCTTTCTCTCTCTCTCTCTCTCTCTCTCTCTCTCTCTCTCTCTCTCTCTTTCTTTCTTCTTTGATGGAGTCTCACTCTGTCACCCAGGCTGCAGTGCAGTGGCGTGATCTTGGCTCACTGCAAGTTGAACCTCCACCTCCCAGGTTCAACAACTCTCCTGCCTTTGTCTCCTGAGTAGCTGGGATTATAGTTGCATGCTACCACACCCAGCTACTTTTTGTATTTTTGGTAGAGATGGAGTTTCACCACTGCACTCAGCCCTTGTACCTCTTTTCAAGGTGACCTCAAAAGCCCTCCAGAGTCCCTGTACTGAATTTCACTTCCACTCAGAGAGCCTGCCTTGGTCCTGGATGCAGGGACTCTTAGGGAAGACCAAGAGTTGTTGTGAAAGTTGTGTACACTGCAGAGTGATGTCTGGGAGAGGAAGGGCTCCTCAATTCCAATGACCTACAGTAGAGGCACAGTGTGAGGCAGATGTCCCCCAACTATAGGACATCCTCTACAAATAAAGAGCAGGTGAAGAATTGAATATTTTATTAATCCCGGATCACTGCTCTCCCCTCGGTTAGATACTGAATGGATAAACTGAGGTACCATTAAACAGATGATGAGGCAGTAGGTTTTCCATCCCAGGTGTGGACAGATGAAATAGCAAAGTAAAGAAGCTAGTCCCTTTAATCATATTGCTTAGAAGTGCTGTGACAGGCAGAGATAAGCAGGTAGCTAGATAGATGTGTAGGTGTGAAGAAAGAGAAAACGATAGATTGACAGAAAGCAAGATGGCCTGAAAGGTAGATTATCTGCAAGGACAGGAGATAAATCAGATAAATAGAGCAGTTACCTAACCATCTGCATTTTTTTCCTCCCACATTCATCTTTGCTTTATATCAGCCACCAGAATTGTATTGTTACGTCCAGCGCAGGAAGGTACTTAAGTGATCTTCATATTTATTCTATGGCATTCCTTCGAGAAATTTTAATTAAGTCATTTTTTTTTTGTATACAAAATCAAGTACTATGAAGCTCCATGTATTAAGTGCACATTCAATATCAAGATGCATAAGTTATAAACATCCAAAAGACACTCCCCCAACTCCCAAAGAAACACACAGCTTATGGATGGTTCTGATGTAGGCAGTGGGAGCTGCAGCCTGTAAAATGAAGCTGTGATACCGTAGGAAGTTCTGTGTCCTGGACTCTGTTTGCAGCTACCAGTGTAACAGCTGACCATGACTACTGGCTGCTTATCAGGTTGTTTAAAAGATAAACATTGTAAAGAAGTCTCATTAAAAGAGACAATGAAAATACAACGTGGAGTACAGTGCCTGGCTTTGCAGCAAGCCCACCTGATGTCAGCTCTTAGAGTAGTGGTAAGACACCTTCAGCTCTATAAGAGGCCACAAGTTCATTCATTCATTCATTCATTCATTCATTCATTTAACTATTTCTTGACGTCTACTCAGTGCCAGGTTCTGAGCCAGGAAATATAGCAAGGAACAAGTCCAACACATCTCTTTCCTCATGATGTTTACATTGTAGCAGGGAGAATGTTCGAGTATTCCTATTGATTTGAAATAGACACTAGAGGAGAAAATCATGAAGGAAATGGGCTCAGAACTCATCAAGTTCAACAGAAGCAGTAAATGCATCAAACTCCAGACAATACTGTCCCATCTGAATTTCCTAAGACTCATGATCATCAGTCCTTGCCCCTCTTCAGTGGTGACAGCCTTCTTCTGTGGGGTAAAGTTTCTGAACAGAGACCTAGAGAAGACTTCTGCTTTGTCCACTATTTTCTCCTTCTCACACAAACAGTTTTCTGCCCATGCCATCGTTCAGCTGCAGAAGAGTTAGAACCCCCCAGCATGGTTGGCAGTGTGCCTGTGTAATCACTTTCCATGAAACCAAATTCTTCTGGCCAGGTGGCCGAGTGTGGTTTTAAAGACAAGTCTTCACAAAGGACATGAACAGCCCCACAGAGTTGTCGACCTGCCAGCCCCACGTGCCCTGGTTAAAGCGCTATCTCTCTTCTCCTTATCCTTTGTCTATTACGCAGGGAAGGGGAGCTGACTCCTATGCTATGGTAAGGGACATGGGGAAGACAAGTGCCTCCCCCAGCCCATGGCCATACTTGATGCCCCATCACTCTTCCCTGTCTTTAGTGAAGTTACTGGGTTGAACAACAGACATGACATCGTTCAAGTGCCCTCAGGTTGGGTTGGGAGAAACAAGCCTATGTATTAACACAACATCTCATATAATCAACCCTTCTTCTCTCCTATTTTCTTTGTTGAAGGATGGCACAAATCTATTGTCTTCAGGTATGTGTGAGCTCTGAGCCCTTGAGAGTTTTCCTCAGAATGAAGCTGCTCTGTAGAGTGTCTGTCCCTTCCTTTCAGCATCTTTTGAAATTGAGCATTACTGGATTGTAGGAAAATTCCTAGGTTCTAGTAAATAGGCTCACTCCAGAGGCTTAAGGGAAAATATGCAAACTGATTACTATAAAAACCTTTCATTTCTGCAGCTTCCTAAACCAATGATGTAACCATTTTGAAGAACAGCCTGGGTTGTACTTATAGTCGACCCAATAACAGGGCAGCCTCTTATTGGCACCTACATTTTTTCTGCTGTTCCCAAATGATGAAATGCACTTCGCTGTTTTAATGAGTAAATCAAACTCATAAGCTAGTAGATAAGCCCCAGATTCTTCTTGCAGACACTTAACACTGTGGTCCCATAAATGCAAGTTCCATCCCTTCAGTGATTATCACAGTCATTATTATTTAACAATTAACATTTTTGCATTTCTCTTTCTTGTACTGGGCTGTAATTTCCAAAGGACTGTGTTTCTTTTGATCAGACATTTGGAATTTTATTCATTTTGGTGAATTACTTTTTTTTTTTTGAATGGTTATGCCGAAGTTCACTTAGTGTTTTCTAAAGACCCCATCACCCTGTTGGTTAGCTCTTGAGAGCATCTACAGAACGGTTTTATGTATGTACATACTTTTTATGGCTTGGAGAATGCTTTTACACAGACCAGTGGTTCATAACTCCCCCTCTATTCTTGTGGCAGTGGAAAGCAGCAAGCAGCAATGGGACAGTGGTGTGCAGAGCCCGGGCTCCCTGTGCTCTCTTGTCTTATAGACTGGGACTTCTTGGTTGTTCTGTGAGCAAAGAATCCTATTGTTTCATATATACTACCATGCATTACTTTAATTAATCTTCCACCTGATTCACCTGGGCAAGTGGGGACTTACTGCTGTCTCCAGTTTACAGGAACATTAATTGATTCAGTAAAGTTTATTATTTATTTATTTACTTTTGAGATAGAGTTTCACTCTTGTTGCCCAGGTTGGAGTGCAGTGGCACAATCTCAGCTCACTACACCCTCCGTCCACCAGGTTCCAGCGATTCTCCTGCCTCAGGCTCCCAAGTAGCTGGGATTACAAGCATGCACCACCACAGCCAGCTAATTTTGTATTTTCAGTAGAGATGGGGTTTCACCACGTTGGTCAGGTTGGTCTTGAACTCCTGACCTCAGGTGATCTGCCTGCCTCAGCCTCTCAAAGTGCTGGGATTACAGGCGTGAGCCACCACACCTGGCAATTCAGTAAAGTTTAGATTTACTTTTTGAGAAAGCATATAGCTAAAGCAGACATTCATGCAGCACCTGTTCTGTGCCAGGTGCAGTTTCAGGAACTTTATACAATGGTTTTATTTCAACAATTTTAGCATCAGCGATCTCACTCTGCTAGGTCATGGCCAAACTGGACTAAGAGCTGTGGCATTTTTCTCCAAATCTCTTGTTCTTTCAGAGGATTACATTAATTCGACAAAATAACTGTCTTAGCCCATTTCGTGTTGCTGTAACAGAGTGTCTGAGACTGGGTAGTTTATAAAGAAAAGAGGTGTATTGATCTCATGGTTCGCAGGTGGGAAAGTTTAAGGGCATGGCGCCGGCTTCTGGCCAGGGCTTTCTCACTGTGTCATAACGAAACAGAAGGTCATAGGTCGGGTAGGCATATGCAAAAAAGAAGGGACCAAAGAGGGCAACGTATTTTATACCAACCTACTCCTGTTTTTGTTTGTTTGTTTGTTTGTTTTGAGACGGAGTTTTGCTCTCTTACCCAGGCTGGATTGCAGTGGTGTGATGTCGGCTCACTGAAACCCCCACCTCCCAGGTTCAAGCAATTATCCTGTCTCAGCCTCCTGAGTAGCTAGGATTACAGGTGTGTACTACCATTCCCAGCTGATATTTTGTATTTTTAGTAGAGATGGGATGTCACCATGTTGGTCAGGCTGGTCTTGAACTGCTGACCTTGTGATCCACCTGCCTCAGTCTCCCAAAGTGCTGAGATTACAGGTGTGAGCCACCGTGCCTGGCCCATACCAACCGACTCTTGAGGGAACTCATCCACTTCTGCAAGAACTAATCCTGGAAACGCTGCAAGAGTGAGAACTCACTATCCTGAGAATGGTACCAATCCATCACGAGGAATCCACCCCATGACCCAAATACCTCCCACTAGCTCCCACCTCCCAATGCTGTCTCTTGAAATTAAACTTCCACGTGGGTTTTGGTGGGGGCAAGGCACATCTAAATTGTAGAAAATACCCGTAAAGAACCTGAGAAAGCACATGGATATTCACGATTTTGTTTCGCCGTCTTTGCCCTTTTCTAGTGAAACGAGGATGCCGTCGAGTCTAGAAAAAAGTCCATCAGGCTGAATGGGTTTCAGATGCTGTCACTGGATTTCTGGTTTTACCTTTTATCTCTAATGGGCTCCTACCCCTTTAGGAGCTTATAATCTCACCCCACACCTACCTTAAGGCCAGGTTCAGGTCTGCAAACCACAAATCCAATGCCAAAACACTGGTAAGCAATCAGATTGGACCGATTTTCTTAGGAAAAGAAAACAGAAACTTACCCCGCAAGGCATCACTACCTAAAACCACCTGTAAGCATTTCTATCATTTCCTTGGATGCTTGAGACTCACCTGTGAGAGGCAAAGCATCAACTTCTCCCACATACCCTTAGTTGCTCTAGACCAGGCGTCCCCAAACTACGGCCTGCAGGCCGCATGCGGCCCCCTGAGGCCATTTATCCCCCCCCCCCCACCCTGCACTTCAGGAAGGGGCACCTCATTCATTGGTGGTCAGTGAGAGGAGCACAGTATGTGGCGGCCCTCCAACAGTCTGAGGGACAGTGAACTGGCCCCCTGTGTAAAAAGTTTGGGGACACCTGCTCTAGACAATTCACCTCTGCATTCCACTTTTAGCAAAAGAAAAGCATAGTAATTACCAGAGTTCAGTTTAGAGCCATCCCTTAACAAACAGTGGTTAAGAAACAAGGGAGGGAGGGAGGAAGGGAGGGAGGGAAGGAAGGAAGGAAAGTAGGGAGGGAGGGAGGAAGAAGGAAGGGAGGGAAGGGAGGAAGAAAATAGGAAGGAAGGAGAGAGGGAGGGAGGGAGGAAAGAAAGGAAGGAAGGAAGGAAGGAAGGAAGGAAGGAAGGAGGGAGGGAGGGAGGGAGGGAGGGATCAGAAATCATAGCCAGCGAAACCCAGGAAAACCATTAGGCAGGAATTAGGACGGTACTTTATCCAGGTTTGCATTCCCAACATTTAGCACCATAGGCATCAAAAATATTGTTGGATGCCTAGTGAGCCACAGTCAAACACTGAGTAAACCTGGCAGTTGGCATCACAGGGGAGGGTGCGTGGTTACTGGACTCTGAGTGGGTCACTGTTTTTCATGCCAAGTCATGACGGTAGGATTCAGTGTGCTGGGGGAACACAGTTTTATGAATCTCACTTTAAAAAAACTGCAAGTGATATAAATAGAAGTTTTCATAATTTTAAGATAATGGTAAAGAGTTATCATTTTTGCTTATTTGTGATGGTTAATATTGTATCAACTTGACTGAATTGAAGGATGCAATGTATTGTTCCCAGGTGTGTCTGTGAGGCTGTTGCCAAAGGAGGTTAACACTTGAGACAGTGGACAGGGAGAGGCAGAACCACCCTCAATCTGGGTGGGCACCCAGCTGCAAGCACAGCTAGAATCAGCTTCCAGCACAGCTAGAATAAAGCAGGCCGAGGAACGCGGAAGGGTTAGACTGCCTGAGTCTTCTGACCTTCATCCTTCCCTGTGCTGGAAGCTTCCTGCCCTCAAACATCAGACTCCAGGCTCTTCAGCTTTTGGACTCTCAGACCTACACCAGGGGTTTGCCAGGGGCTCTCGGGCCTTTGGCCACAGACTGAAGACTGAGCTATCGGCTTCCCTACTTTTGAGGTTTTGGGACTTGTACTGGCTTCCTTGCTCCTCGGCTTGCAAACAGCCTACTGCGGGACCTCGCCCTGTGATCATGTGAGTCAACGCTCCTTAATAAACTCCTTTTTATATATACATCTATCCTGTTAGCCCTGTCCTAGAGAACCCTAATACAATATTTGTAGTTTTTATATCTCACAATAAAACTCAGATGTAATTAATTCAGGTGTAAATGCATGAGAAAGGTTTATATTCATTAAGGCCAAAACCAACCACAACAACAAAAATACAGGAAAGTCAGTATCACCATGCTGCCTTTATCCAGCACTGACTTTTTCTTTGCTGAGCATTTCAGGATCTGTCGTGTATGAAATTCAACCTGAAATGCACACGTGCAGCAGGTGCATCTTGGGGCTTTGAGGCCAACCCCAACCCGCAGTTGCCAAGAACGACTGGCCCCGAGAAACACCTGAAGAAGATTGGTTTCGTGTTTGGGTCCTTCTACGACCCTGAAGAAAGCACTGGGGAAGACCCGACTGTGGTTTCACTTAGCAGCCCCCCAGCCATCACCACCTCATTTCTCGCCCACCTTTGTAGTGTACCCATTCCTAATTAAGAAGGCTGAGGCAGAGCCAAGGGTCAACACAGGGCTGGTATCTCTCCCAGGCTTGCCAGTCATTTGCACCCAGAGAAAACCAATTGCGAGGAGAAGAGAGAGAGAAAACTTAGGTTTCCCGACAATGTAAGTTACATCTTAGTATGAGAAGTTAAACAATATCCATTGTTTTGAACTACTTTTGCCCTTTAATCCACAGTGGTGAATCCTTTCTTTTCGAGGATTGTTGACTATCACAGGAAACCGGGACCATCTGGTCAAGTTAGGGTGTATTTCTGCTCATCTTCAGCTTTATAAACCGGTGCAAGAAATAAAGCTGAGCTGGGTTGCCACTTTCTTTAGGCTTATCTTATTTGGAGAAGGTAATAAATTGAATATGCTTTAAGTGAACATTGGGAAGTGATTGATGATTTAATACCTTTAAATTAAAAGAAGATTTATTGGAAAATTGGCAGTGCTGCAGCAGAGTTTAGTCGTCTGTTAAGTAACAGTGCCCACATGCCATGACAAATCCAGAAGCCAGTTTGTGGGGAAAAAATAAATAAATAAAGGGACTTGGATATATTTTACTTTTGAGCCCATGAATAAGATTTGAAGCCCATGAAGAAGATTCAAAGGAACCTTAGAGAAAGGGAAGTGAGTGGGGACAACAGAGACCTCCCCCATCTGCTGCCTCCAGGATATAAGGATTAAAAAGATGGCATGTTGTTTAGAAGTAAGGACACTGCTCTTTTTCTTTTCTTTTTCTTAATTTTGAGGTGCATCATTATGATTTCAAAAAATGAAATATGAGTGGACTCTTAAGTTCTGTTTCTGGTCTATTGAGGTTGACACAACTCACTGGAAGTTCCTATCTCTGGCAGGTACATCAGGGAAATGTGCGTCCCTCCCAGTGAGGCTGTAAGGTTAAAAGTCCTGACACCTCCTGCAGATCTGAGCAGCTGCGCGTTGAACCGGATAGTCTTGGCACGTGGGATGACTCAAGAGTCTGGAACATTGCTTGAGGATAACACAGAAAGATACATGATTTTCACAGGTAAGTGTTGGTTTATTTTGTTGTTGGAAAAAAGTTCCTCACTGATAACTATCTAAAAGAGAAATAATGACAGTTTCAGACGTTCCAAAAATAGCTGTGAAGGGGGTTTTGTTTTCGTTTTGGTTCTTTCTGGTGTGCCTTACAGCTTTCCCCAAGGTGACACACTTACTGACCTACTGCCAGGACAAATAGGTGGAAAAAAGCAAGCTTTCCTCTCTCTGGAGAAAGGAAGGGTCAGGTGTAACACTGAAGTGACTGAAAAGTAGGAGAGCTTGTATCGGCTCTGGCCTGCACAGTGGTTCCTCTGTTCTTTACATAGAAAGAGAAGGAGGAGAAAGCTCAAAGCAATGCCCTTGATTTAACCCTTCAGAGGGCAGATATGGCCGATCATTATTTTGCTATTTTGGTTATTGTTCATTTAAATTCCATGTGCCAATTCCAACTGATTAGTGGCTGCTTGGAGCACTGTGTGAGGAAGAAGTCTCAGGCACGTGGTGAGCATTCAGCCAGCACTTGCCGAATGTCGAATGAATGAATGCCTGTCTTGAACACAGGGAAAGGAGTGGTACTACGTGTGTCGCAGGGTTGCCCTTGAGTTGACCCCAAGGAAGATATTCTAAAGAGGAGAAGGTTAGGGATGAGAGACAAAGATGCATGCTAAGGCTGATGAGCTGTTCTCCTAACAGATAAAGCCTGACCCGGCCTCGGACTTCAGTACATACAAGTAAACTGTGAAAGGATGCTGCATTTATTGGCCATGTCCATTTGAACTTTTAAAATAGCACATGCTCTTTAACCCTACCTCCACCCCACAAGTCTAGTTCTAGCAATTTAACCTAAGGATATAAATAAGGATGTGAACAAAGCCTTAGCTACAGTGGTGTTTTACAGAAGCATTTTATGCAAGAGAGAAACTTGTGCAAAGTAACTCGGTTCAAAAAGAGGTTAACATAAGGCAGTATTTCTCAAAGTTGGCCTGTTGACATCTGGGGACAGGTAATTCTGTGTTGTAGGGGCTGTCCTGCACATTGTGGGATGCTTATCGATGTCTCTGGATTTAATCCAGTAGATGCCAGTAGCAGCCCCTCACTAGCTGTGACAACCCAAAATACCTTCAGATTTTGCCAGATGTCTCCTGGGAGGAGTGGGAAACCCGAACCACTCCCAAGTAAGAATCACTGATGTAAGGGTATCGAACTCATGGCAATTCAGAAAAAGCTGAGTAACCGGGATTCCGAATCTGAAGAGCTGCCGCATCTTGAGTGCAATCATCTCTCTTACGACCCCTTCCCCCTGCTGACCTTGTTTGTCCTGTAGATCTATAGGACACAGATCTGCTCCATTTTTGCTCTGAGTCTCTGCTCTTCATAATTGCCATGTGTACCTAGAGGAATCACGACACCCCACACATAGCTTTATATGGCCTTTCAGCTCAATTATCCACCACAGACTGCTAACTTTTTTCTGCTCCTTAGTTTAAATTAAGAAAAAAGGTAGCTGATTGGTTCTGCTCGTTGTAAAAATTCAGGTGAGTGGGCTTAGGCAACCGGTTGCTGAAGGAGGATCTCTAACCTGCTCTGGGGCACGTGTCCATCTCCTGCTAGGCCACTTGTGAGCGGACGAATTTAAAGAGTCCCCAAAAATGTCAGTGATAATGTTGTTCATTGCAATATGTTTTTCTTGCTTCTTCACCTGTCTGGCAATTTTTGATTAGATGCAAGATCTTGTAACTTTACCTCGTTTAGAACACTGGGTATTTTTATTTCTGTGAATATTCTTGAGCTTTCTTCTGGGATGCAGCTAAGTCATTTAGAAATCGTTCAATTTTTTTTAACTCTAAACATCCCTCTAGTTACCCTTGATAAGCCCGGTCTAGGGCTAATTGTTCCCTACGACCAGGGAAAGACCCTCCTAAGCACTCTACCCAGTGCCCTGTGAATTGGGAAAGTTTCCAATCTGGCTGGAGGAAACAGATAATATTCCCAGGCTCCTGTGAGGTCCAGCTACATTTCTTCTATCTTTTCATGTGGTTCTTTCTTCCAGAGAAAGAAAGACTCCGGTAGTTTCCTCACATGCATGTTCTGATCAGCAGGCTGCCAAACACCTGAGAAGGATAGCCTGCAGATGCCCATGATCTTCTTTTATGCAGCTCTCTCCTTCCCGTGCTCTGTGCTGTGAAGTCACAGCACTGGGACTTCCCCAGGTATCATCGTTAACAACTCGGGAAGTCTGCCAGGCTCTATCGGAGTTTCTCCTTCCTCACTGTGGTCTTGAATTCCTTCAAGACTGCAAGCTGGGGCTTAGCTTCATTTGTTCTCATCCGTTTTCTTTAATGACTGATATCCAATGTCTCGAAAATCATTGATTTGTATTTTGTCTAGTTTTTTAGTTTGGAAGATAGACCTGGCTTCTCTTATTTCATCTTATCTAGATGCAAAATTTCACAATGGGCTTTTTATGATTAAAAACTGGAAGCAACCTAGAGAATTTCACCAAGAGAACTGCATGTATAGACAGCATTGTTAGAATGAAATTCCATTCACATTATCAGTGACCCTGTTGGTGAATATTTATTGATATGTAAATAGGCTTATAACCTATCAAAAGCAAAAATAAGTGTATGATCAGTTTATTTTATTTTGTATATACATTTATAAATATATACAGATATACATAAATATATACCTACACATGTACATACATATACCCGTATATATTAGTATTTACCTTTCT